CAATCCCATTTTGAAGTGTTGGCTTGCAGCTTGATCTTCTTGCCCAAAACAGTTACTGTAACTGTCATTCTGTCATAATCCAATTCTATGGGTGTGCAGGACTTTAACCAATCTCCACCAAGAATTAAATCACAACCCTCAGTCTTTAGAAGCCTCATTGAATACTGGAATTTATGGCCCTGCATTTCCCATTTGAACCCCTCCACACATTTAGAGCTGAGCATCTGATTGGTCGGAAAGAGTGCATATTTATATATTTATTAGCGTATTTTTATATGCTTAATTTTATCGCACTTATATTGTTTTTCGACTTATTTATTTATTAGATGGATTGAGGTGCTTTGATATTTTTATGGTTTATTTTTAGGATATTGGAGTGTTTTTATGGACGACGAGACGTCGAAGGAAGGTTGAAGCAGACAGTACGGGGGTGCCCCATATTCTGCTACAGACAGAGCTGGAAACCCCATACTTGGTCCAATATAGGCCACACTGGGCCCAAGATTGATAAAATAAAAGTTATTCACGCAATTGGACTTGAGGCACTCACGCCACTTGAGGAGACTTGGAGAAAATGTGTTGTTAAGCCCACTTTAGGCTATCAATTAATTGAGGAATAAAAAAAGAAAAGTAATGGGCCTGGGAGTATTATTTTACGGAACAAAGCATAACAAGAAAAAAAAAAGGGGATCCATTACTTATTTAGGAGGAGTTTTTATTTTTCACGCAAGCAGACGCGGCCATACATTCACGCATCACAGGAAAAAGAGAGAAACAGATGCAAGAGAAAAAGATATCGGACAGAAGCGAGTAACCCGATCAAACGCGGAGGGAGGCCGCACCCGTACACGAGGGAGATAATTAATCTCTCTCTTTTATTTATTATTTATTTTTATTCAGTATGTTAGAGTAGATTTTATTTCTAGTTCCGGGGAAGTCGAACCCTACGATTGACTATGTTTTGATTGATTTATATGGTTGAGGATTTTAATATCTTTTTGGAATTGCTTGTGTTATTTTGAATAATTCACCATGATGCGTTAGTCTTGTTTAGATTGATCACCTAGATTAGGCTTTTCATATCTACATCTGAATTAGACCTGCAATCCGTAATTGTTGTTGTGTTTAATTCATAAGAGGTAACCGGAAGATGGTAACTACCGGGGATAACACGGCCTATTTAAGTGAGCAAATGCGGTTGAGTTCACTACTTAGTCTAGCCTATTTTTCTAATTCGTAAAGCGGCTGATTGTATTAAATCTTGAAAACGTTTTTCTGGACTGTACAAGAAGTCAGGTTTAATCGTAGAGCGTCTCGCGGTTGAATTAAAATTAAGGAAACTTTGGGTAACAGACCATGTCGTTGCCTAGGGCTAGTAATTTCATAAGATAGCGAGATTTGATTCCAAAGTTGATTAGACGAGTCGATCGAGGGTGTAGACGAAACCGTAAACTAGAAGCTTTCTCTTAATTTATTTATTTATTTTTTATTTTTATTTTCATTGTTTAGATATTATTTGCTTTATTAGGATTTTAGTTAGTTTAGTTATTAAATTCAATCCCCCCCTTTTATCGCTTTTATAATTTCAATTAATACGATAAGATTCACGATTTGATTCACACTCCTCGTGGGATCGACCCTTGCTCGCCACTACTACTAGTTAGTAGGGGTTAGTTGAGGAAAAATATAAATATCAATTTTGCCGCGTTGCGACGCGCGGTCAGCATCTTGTGTCCATTAGCCACTCTCACCATAATAGGTTTAACTGTTTATAAAGGGAAACCCAACTTTTGTGCAGTGGTATCTTGGATAAAGCTTAGTGTGCTTCCAGAACCAATAAGGATGTACAATTTTGGGCCATTGCAGTCCCCAGTAAGCCTCATGGTAGTTAACCCTTGTCCACCATTTAGAGCATTCAGGGACATCTGAATTTCTTCAATGTCATTTTCCTTTGATGCCTCCATTATGCACTCTTCATTTTTCTAACTAGAAAGTTCCTCTTCTTCTGTCATAATCATGTAGGTAATTCTGTTCTTACATCTGTGCCCTACCACATAGGGTTCATCACAGTTATAACACAACCCTTTTTCTCTTCTAGCAGCCATCTCATGAGCAGTAAGCATCTTGATGGGTGGCTTGAATTGATTGTTTGTTGCAGGAACCCTAGCAAATGGGGGGTCATTTCTCCTCATATTTGAGTACTGATTAGTGAACCTGTTAGGTACCTTTGCCTTTTTCACAATAGCATCCACAATGCATTGTTGTTTTCTCCCCAGTTCAATAGTTTGTTGTAAGGTTCTAGGATCAAACATATAAATAAGTGCTTGTGCCTCTTCACTCATCCCACTCAAAAAGCTGGCAATAAAATAGTCCTCAAAAAATTCACCATTATTAAAAAGCAATATACAGGACCTAAGTTCTTCAAATTTTTCCACATAATCATCATAGGATCCTATGTGTTTGAGTTTGTTGAACTCCCCTATTATTCTTGATTCTCTGATCTCTTCAAATCTGGAAGAAATCACTTCCAAAAATTGTGGCCAGGAGCAGTTTTTGAATTTAGCACAAAAATTTTGGTACCATTGTGCTGCTTTACCATCAAAGTGCATGGAAGCCAAAACAATTTTCTGTGCATCTGGAATATTAGGGATAATTTGAAAATACTCATGACATTTAAGTATCCATCCTCTGGGATTTGTTCCATAAAATCTAGAAAAATCCACCTTAGGTAGTGGGTTGATGAAGTGAGGTTGTGAAGGTGAACCTTCCATTTGCAGTTGTGGTTCAGAAGATGTTGATGAGTTTGTGTAGGGTGAGTGCTACCTTTGGTGTACTGTTGAGATGGAGGGGTACCCAAAATAGAGTCCTCCACCCTGGGTTCTTTTCTTTTGCTAAGATTATGCAATTGTGCTTGAATATTTGCCAACACATTTGCCACATGATCATATTTGATGTCTAGATTACCCATTTGTTGTTGCAAAGAGGAGTTGATGGTGGTAATCTTGTCCTGCAGATCTGAACTGAGACCTGCCATTTGCTCCTGGATTTTCAGTTCACTTGCTTCCCTTTTCATGGATTCAGTGACCACGAACTGATCTAACCGTTTTTGGTTTTTGTGCAAGTCCTTCAAGCGAGTGTTCTCAACCATTTTCCGAGGATCGGAAGCTCTGAGATACCAATTGTAGTGGGTTGTAATATTTTTACGATTTTTTCTGAATTTTATAAGTATTGATACTCTGTAATTGTATAGAAGAAATGGAAAGAGATGAAAACGAGCAGAAAGATGAGAAAAAGAGAGAGAAAGAGCAAGAGAGAGAAAGTTAGTTGAGATAATGACATATATGATTCCTTTGTTTTCATCATCCACACTTAAATACATAACAAATGGGCATGTGACTAATCACCCCCAATTCAGTCTAACGCACGCGCCTACTAGGCCCACTAAATTGTGCAGCCCAAAATAACATAACACTACTTAGCCCAATACTAATAATCAAAGAGGAAAGAAAAAATAAATTTAGATGAAACTAAATCGACAACCCTATTTTCCCAAAATCTCATTTCTTCCCAACCACTTCCCCGTTGACTTGCTTAGACCCACCCTCGTTGCCGGTAGAGTCCATCACACAAACTTTATTAATTCGATCGTTATAAATTGCCCCTACTCAAACTACCTAATGTAATTATCTATTTGCTTTCAACTAGTATAATCGGCCATCACAGCTTACTTAGATCTTGTCAAACATATTTATTAACCATTAATTTTCCTTAATGGGATATGAAAATAGTTGGGGAAACACATGTTAGTGCACTTATTATGACTGCTTGATCTTAACAACCAAAATCACGTGCCAAAGAGTTCCGTTGAATTTCATTTAATTTAGGGTTCACTACACATTCACATGCTCCATTTGCTCGTCTCATCTTACTTATTAATGACATATAGACAAAGATCCCATTAACGAGGTGCCAACTGCTCTTGGATGTCAATGTTTGCCACTAGGTTTTTTTATTTTATTTTTATCTTTTGGGATGGAGAGTCAGATCTTTCAATAAATATACATGTTTTTATATTGAAGTAAAATACTCTACAAAAATAACATCAAAAGTATAACATTTCATAGTATAAACTATAAAAAATTACTATATTCTAACAGTAAACTATTTCGGTGAAAATTTCAACGAATATTTTAGTAGTATAGTTTCCGTTGGAAAAATTTTCAATTGAAAATTCCAACGGAGCTACTAACACTAATATATTCGACTGTGATTAAAGTTTTCTTTGAATATCAGTTGGAATTTGATAATCACAACTGCTATTTATTCAACGGTTTATGTGGAAAATTTCGTTTGAATTTTTTTACTCAAACCATATTACAGCTGACATTGCAATCTTCAAAATCCAATGAGAAACTAATTTTTAAGGAATATATTATCTGTTGGAAAATTCAGACAAATTTAATAACATTAGAATATTCATTGAAATTATCATTAAAGTTTTGTTGTAATATATTTCATTAAAATTTTATCATTTTCTTGTAATGATAAGTATGCAGTATTGTTTATAAAATAACGACATGTTCATCCCACCTAATAATTCAAATAAGATTCTTTGTTTGTATTTTGTTGTAATATATTTTCAGTGGAACTTTATTAATTTCTTGTAGTGATAAATATATATATTTATTTAAAAAGTACGACAGTTGTAGTGGAATTTTATTATTTTCTTGTAGAAATAAATATATATATTTATTTAAAAAGTACGACAGTTGTGTCCCGCCTAACAATAAGACAGTAATGCTAAGGAGTCAACTGTTGGCTCCGTAACAGAGCCAACAGTTGACTCCTTAGCATTTTTGAACAACAAGATTGTCTCAAATTAAGATTTTATGTAGTATGTATAGTTGTCTGTTCTTACTACATATTGTTAGAAATGTTGATTGATTATGTCTTTGACAAAATACTGTATCATTGCATCCATAAATGATGTCAATATCAACCTTTCATCTAATCTTGGAGAGCTATAGCTAAAATATAACACAATGCCATTTGAAATATTTCTGTTATACCGAACAGAACACACGGAAGTCTGAAGTTACAAATCTAATAATAGAGTTACAAGGAACTTTTCCCATCACTTGGAAATTCACACCTAAAATTAATCGAATTGCATTATTGAAAACTGGATGAAAGTTATTATTTTTTTTTTTTCATCTCCATTTGTCAAGATTAACACTTCCCAGCACCCGCAAGGATCATTAGCCTTCTCGCGTTCTTGATAAAATCACTGAAAAAATATAAAAATCAAAATCAAAACCAATCCAAACAAGAAAATCAACAAATACGGCTACATTGGTAAAACTAGCTGATATAGCTTAGAGCTGAAAAACTAGCTTATATAATATGTGTTTAGTCAAAATTAGTGATAAGCTACTTGAAATAAAAAAATTCAACGAGTTTTATTTGAAAAGTTACCTAAAGAAACTTATGAGATAAGTTCAAGCTTTTTAAAAAAATTTGTCCTACCAAACGAAGCTTATTTGAACATAGGAAGCTTATAAACTAACCAAATAGACCAAATAAACTAGCATAATATGAAAGCATATAAACAACAAGAAACCAAAAAATGGCAAGGCAAAAAGTAAAAGCTCCTCTACCCGAAAAGTTGGTCCTCGACGTGTTTGGTTGTACCCTGTGCATCACTATACAGTACATTGCTCGACGGCACCTCCATCCGAGGAGGGTTCCTCCAGAAAGTGGTGAATATTTGCCAAACGCGAACACGACTCGTTGGACCCATTTGTCATGTTCTCTTGATTTCCATCTGATAAACTATTCACAGAGTAGCTTCTAGAAATTTGTTCCTCGGTGAGAATCGGCTGCCCAAACAGAACAAACCCACCAGGCGTTTTCCTTATTATATCATCATTATTTTTTGCAAACTTTTTGTTTTCCGGTGGGCCCACGTAGCTGAGGAGTTTGAAATCAAACGGCTGAAGTGTCATGTGCAGATTCAGATCAGTGTTCGGTCCTGATCGTGCATGCCTGGCTCCCTGTACACCTGCAAACATATTGTCTGAACAGCACAAAGGGCTACTGGGACTAAGGGGATTGGTGAATAAAGTGGGGATATTGAGTGGGAATTCGTTAGGCTGGGTTAGGCGGGTCCGTTTTTTCGGAGGCGACAGAGGAGGGAGGAAGCTGGGAGGCAAATTGGATACAAGTTCGACTAGCCACGGGCTGACCCGCTTCACATTCTGCAGCAAATCAGGTTCGTCCCATGCCACCTGCGCAAACCGAGTTTTGGGCCAAACTTCAATATCAGAAAACAAAGGATGAAAAATGTAGAAAGAGCTTACAAATAATTTCACGATGCTTTTTAGTCTCAAACACGAACAATTGTATCTAACTAGTTTGACCAAGGTGTTCCAAGGTAAAGNATACCACACAGCATAAAAAATGAATTTATTTCTTTTTCACCCAAATGAACTTTTTTTTTTGTAGTTTCAGAATTAGACAGTTTATAATAACCAAGCACAAACTATGAACTGGGATTGAATAAAACACAATAAAGATCGAAACTTGAAAAGAAAAATGAAGGCCCTTGTTGTTAAAAACCTGTAGAAGCACAAGTGATCTGGCTTTTTGCAGTTTCAGAACTAGACAATTTATAATAACCAAGCACTAACTATGAACTGGGATTTGAAAAAACACAATAAAGATCGAAACTTGACAAGAAAAAATGAAGGCCCCATATTGTCAACAAACCTGAAGAAGTCTCCAAGGTGAATTAGGCCAACGAACCGAGTCCTCCACCTGAACCGACTTTACAGTCCCCATAAACCAGCTTATTCGAGACGAATCCTCCGTCTCGAACGCCATCTTAAACCTCATCCCGGGACACCACCTCACCCCCATAGCCGCCTTTACCGCCCGACTCCTCACCACAAACTCCGGCGTGCTTGCACGCGGATAATAAAAAACCTCAAACTCATGCCCGCCAGCAGCAAGGCTCACTGCTTCAATTACGCATTCACCATTATCCGCATTACCCTTCCCACCATCTGACAAATCCCCCGGAAGCCCAAAAACCCGAGACGGGCCGAGATGGGCCGGCCCAGTGTTCCAACCCGTCAGCACCTCGGGCCCACCAAAGATTCCCCTTTTGGCCCGGCGAATGCCTATACACAGCTCGCCACTTTCAGATCTCACAAACACCACAGAATCCCCTGCCACGAGTTTCTTCTGGTTCACAAAATTGCTCCACCCAGTGGTTAGGAGGTGGCGGCGAGGGGTACCACGGTAAATGTGCCTGAATTTCCAAATCTGCCCATGAACATCCTTAGCCAAGATTGTCTGAACTGGGGGCTCGGCCGAGTAATCGAGCCGAGGGAATATTGTCTCGGCACAGTATCGAGGAACCGAAAACCCCCCGCCATTGTTCGCATCAGATTGAGTCAGCGTCTTTGCGAAAGAATCGGTTTTTTGCTTATCGTCGTACTTTTCGAATCCCAAAGCCTCGTTTTTTTCAACTTCAAATTCGTTTTCCTTTAATGGGACTAATCGAATTTTTACGTACACTTCATCGGTCTCCCTGTCGGCTAGATATTTGATTGAGGATACTTTACAGTGTACAAGGGGTGAAATTTTTGGGAGTTTATTGAGATTTGGATTTATATAGGCATGTTCAGCATGGCCTTGAGGAAAGTAATAGACTTTGGAATTTGGGGGTGGGATTTGGGCCATGCCACCGGCACAGGCGTGCCATAGCTGAGGGTCCAAGCTTTTCTGAGCTTGGTTCATGGGCCTCCCAATTGAATGCATAACATCAATCATTTTGGAAAGCATAAAATAAATAAAACCTAATCAGCTAGAGGGAGGAATCTTGAAACTGGACAAGTTATTTTGCTGGCTCTTGTGCAAGCCTATGAAGAAAAAGAAGAAAAATCTCAATAAAAATTACAGAATAGAACAAACAAGACGAACAGAAGCCAAAAAGGAAAAACCCCCTTTGATTCTTGAATAAGCCCAAAAATTGAAATGGGTTTTCAGCTAATTAATCAACCGAAAGAGAACACAGATCGAGGTTAATCAACAATGACCAAACAGAGCAAAATTAAGAGGTAAAGGGGGACTTACACGAAAAATAAAATTCTGCTATAAACTTGGTTCCCCTTATTGGATCCTCAAATCTGAACACTGAAATTATCTCTCTTACAGCCTCACAGCATTCGATTTGTCAAATCAACCCAAAAAAAATGAAAAGGAAAAAGGGGAAAAAGAACGCCCACGCCAGAAACTGCTTTTCTTTTTTCACAAAAAATGTGACCTTTTACTTGAAGCAATAGCAAAAAGGCAAAGAAAGAGTGATGGTTGGTGGTGCAGTGAAATAACGTAACATAAAATTGTTTGAACTTGCTAAAGGAAAAGGAAGGTGAGTGCAGAAGGGAATTTATGGGAGGAGGAGAAGTTAAATCTTGATTTGAAAAGGAGACAGAAGGCAGAGGCAAATGACGATAGCGCAGAGTTAGAGAGAGAAAGGAAGGCAGAGGCAAATGACGATAGCGCAGAGTTAGAGAGAGAAAGGAAGAGTGAGGAGACACCTGAAGAAGTTGGCTTCTCTTTGCCGACCAGAAGGTGGCAGAGAGGGAATTGATGTTGACAAATGACAGTTCTCATTTTTAAGGGGTGGGATGTGGGATTTTATACTACCTACTCTTGCTGTAAGCGCGTGTGCTTTACATATTTTATTTCTTCATTTCTTAATTAGATAATAAAATAATTTTATTTTATTTTTTTAATAAAGAAAAAAGAGTTGATTAAGTATCAAGGCTAGGACCGGTCATCGAATTGGTGAAACTACCGGTTCAATGGTTCATTGGTCGGACCAGTGGTCGAACCGGTCGAACCGTTTTATTTAATATATAATTTTTATTTATTTTGTATGTATTAATATATAATGTTATATATTTTATCTTTAATTTTTAACGTAATGACATATTTTTAAATATATAAAGGAAAAAATATATAAATAATAGTGCATATTATAATTATTTTAGCTAACATGCTTGATTCCAAGTATATGTTTATAATTAATATGTATTATTTTACTTTTGCCATTTTTTGGAAAAAGATTTTTTTTATGGTCTTGGGCATCACAAATATTCTTTAAGAACTTTTGAAGGCTTAATTTACTTTTGAAGTAAAGCTCAAAAAGGCAAAAGGCCCAACATTAATAAAAGAATTAAGCTAACAATTGTTTTAGCTATATGACCCAAAAATACAAATAAGAGGCATTAATTGTAGGGATTTTCAATTGCAATAAGGCCCAATACCGGCCCAAATATCTTCTTTACTTGTGACTTGTGTGCTCTGCTCCACGTCGGAACCGCAAACAAAAACTCTCAGGTATTTATATGAGTGTTCAAAGCGCACCAAGCGCCGCTGGGCCGCACCGACCGCAACCGGTTTTACCGATTTTATCGGTTTTTGACCGGTTCAAACAGTTGTTGACCGGTTTTGCTCCACAACGGTTCCATGCATCGAACCGGACCGGTGTCTGGCCGGTTCACGGTTCAACCGGTTGAACCGGCCGGTCCGGTCCGGTTTTGACAACCTTGAATTCCACAACTAATCAATGAACAATTTTCAGAGCGCACTAATCAAAGTTCGGCATTGGTTCGAGTTTGATCGAACACAAGCAGAACTAAATTGTTCAAATAAATGTTAAGTCGATTTTGAACGTGTATTTGCAAGGTTGAGCTGCTCGTTGGGCGACTCAATTTTACATATAATTACTCAATGTTGCCTCAATTACATTGATCCTTCCGTCTAACTCAATGTTGCCTCAATTGCATTGATCCTTCCGTCTAACGGAGCTTCTAGTTGCTTCTATGCCTCCCCCGGAATGAAGTGGGCATATTTAGTCAGTCTATCTACTATTACCACTCTTTCATCTCGGTAGTTGGGCCAACCTGGGCCATCGAGTACAGCTACTAAACAGAAAGAAGGTAAAGATGGAAGTGAGAAGGCTGCGAAAGGAAAGGAAGCATCATAAGTGATATTTAATTATTCCTCAGTTTCAGTTAAACGTGGCCAAACCTCGGTTTTGAGCCGAATCCAGATTGAAACCCCCGAATTTGGATCGAAACCACCGATTTTAGGTCAAGGTTTGGAAGGCCTTGAACCGGCTCGAACAAATGCACGGAGCCGATTCACCAAATTGACGGTTCCGGGCCGGTGATGGAGGAGCTGCACGCGGTGAACGCCGACGAGCTCAGTTTGCCAAGGTAGAGCTCAGTTTCAGTTGGAGGAAGGCGACGATGGAGGAGATGAAGTCCATCGAGAAGAATGGCATGTGGACCTCCCACCCGACCTCAAGATAATCGAGGTGAAATGGGTGTTCAAGGTGAAGAGGAGCGAGCACAGGGCGGTGTCCAAGCACAAGACGCACCTCGTGGTGAAAGGCTATGCACAACGGCACGACATCGACTACGACGAGGTGTTCACGTCGGTTGTCATTCTAGACTCGATGCGCCTCCTCATCGCTCTCGCGGGGCATGAAGGGTGGGAGGTACACCACATGGATGTCAAATCAGCGTTCTTGAACGGCGACCTGCACGAGGAAGTCTACGTCGAGCAGCCAACCAGCTTCGTCAAGCTTTTGTAGGAGTTTTACGGTCTACATCAAACACTGCGGGCCTGGAACGCAAAGATGGACTCCACGCCGATGTCGCTTGGCTTTAAGAGGAGCGCGCCGGAGCACACCATCTACATCAAGTGGAACGACAACAACTCACAAACTGGTGGTTGGGATCTACGTTGGTGATCTCGTGATCACCAGCTCAAGCTGCGGCAACATCAAGTTGTTCAAGAAGGAGATGACGGTTGTGCTCAAGATGAGCGACCTCGAACTACTTCACTACTACCTCAGCATTCAAGTGAAGCAGAACGAGAGGGGAATCTTGCTCTGCCAGGGTGCCTATGCTGGTAAGGTTCCAGAGAAGAGCGACATGGCTAGATGCAATCCCTGTCAGGTTCCTATGGAGGCACGACTGAAGTTGAGCAAATTCAGCTCGGAGCCGGCAGTCGACCAGATGGCGTACAGGAGCATCGTCGGGAGCTTGAGGTACTTGGTTAATACTTGCCCCAATCTGGCTTTTGTTGTTGGCTATATTAGTCGGTTCTTGGAGGACCCATGTGAGGATCACCTTGTTGCCGTGAAGCACATTCTATGCTATGTGCCAAGAACCCAGAATTGGGGACTCTAGTTTGGCAAAAGGAGGAAAATGAAGCTCACTTGACAGCAATTATGCTAGGGATGTTGATGCTAGCAAGAGCACAAAATGGATGATTTTCTTCTCAACAGCAGGCAGCAGCTCGATCACCTGTCAATCCATGAAGCATAAGGTGGTGATACAATCTAGCTCTGAGGCGGAATACATAGCAGCTGCAAACACTGCTAATCAAGCATTGTAGCTCGCTTGGGTGCTGGCTGAGGTGCAGGAATCAACCCCAAGAGCGCCAATTTTGAGGGTGGACAACAAGTTTGTCATTACCTTAATCAATAATCCAGTACTCCATGGACAGAGCAAGCACATTCAAGTGAAATATCATTTTGTCTGGAAGTCTGCATGCTGATGGTGGACAACAAGTCTACCATTACCTTAATCAATAAGTCAGTACTCCACGGACAAAGCAAGCACATTCGAGTGAAATTTTATTTTGTTCGGGAGTCTGTAGAGGAAGGTTTGATTAATGTCGAGTTCATCAGGAGTGAAGAACAACTGGACGACATTCTGACGAGACGCTTGGGAGGACGAAGTTCCATAAATTGTGCTCTAAGATCGGCCTGTCAATGTCAACAATGTGACAAGATTTAGGAGGAGATTGTGAGAAATATTTTATTAAATAATATAATCCTTGTGCATCGAAATTAGTTTATTTGTTTTCCTTAGTTACTTCCCTAGATTAGATTAGTTGTGAATATTAGCATGATTATAGTTTTCTTGTAATATTGATTTGTAGGTCTTAATTAGTTCCTTGCAATTCTTTATTTAAAACAATAGAACAAGAAAAGCTGTCAATTCGACAACACCATTGATCTCGACAGACAACTGTGTGTTGTCTCTCACGCGTAGTTCTAACACTCCCAACCATTGATCAGAAATTTTTGAACATCATTCTTCCCCTCTCTTCTGAGTATTAGCTATGTTTCTACGCTTTTAGTTACATAGTAAGCAAATAATTATTCTTAATGTGATAGTGACTTGTAGCACGAATCATGAAAACAACATTTTTTTATTTTTTTCTCAAGGCAAGCTTCTTTGTAGTTAGTATCATCTGTAAGAAGATAAATCTACACCACAGTCCACAGTCTAAACTTGTATGAATTGTCCTTTAGGCCTTACTCAGAACTCAGAAGGTGTATCAGTATACTAGATAAATTGAACCTATCTGTCATACATGATATGGTGGCAAAGGCTTATTAACAACAATTTTTGCATTTCACAAACTGAGGATTTGAAATTTTGTAGTGGCAAGTCAAACTGTGTCATCTGAATATAGATAACAGTACTTTGGCCATCTTTTAATAAATTATAAACCTAATTGGTAACATTCATTTTCACTGCTACAACAATTTTACATTGTTACATCTTTCACCAGTCCAATATCTACAAACAAACTGATGTTTTTTTACCTCACTCATTTCCATAACTTATGAGGAGTTGAGGAGCTTCATCATGAAGTTGAACTGAGTCTCGGGTGAGATCTTCGGGTGGGGCCATTTAGCTCCTTGAGGGACTCTAATGCATTTGAAACCTTGGCTCGTGTACAGCTTTGTTGCTCCAGGGTTATTAAGGTCACAGTGTAATGCAATTGCTCGGCAGCCCCAGCTTTTGGCTTTCGCTTCTGCTTTTGCGATTAGCTTCTTTGCAATTCCCTTCCTTCGGAAATTTTCACGGACCGCAACATTTGACACGTATGCAATTCCTATCCTGTCCAAAATCCAAACTTGCTTTGGTTTAGTGTAAATATATAAAAAGGATCGATTTATCTTTACTAGTTACAACAAGGACCCCGATCATTACAAATAAGCTAGCTTATAGCTTATTTGGTTAGCTTATAAGCTTCCTGTATTCAAATAAGCTTAGTTTGGTAGGATGAGTTTTTTTAAAAACCTTGAGCTTATCTCATAAGCTTCTTTAGGTAGCTTTTCAATTAAGTTCATTGTAATTTTTATTCCAGCTAGCTTATCAACTAATTTTACGGAACACTTTATCATATAAGCTTGTTTTTCAACTATAAGTCATAAGCTATAAGCTCGAAAATCACTTATAAGCTAAGCTAGCTTATCGAATTTACCTTCTTTGTCTAAAAGGCCCTTTTCTTGGAAGAAAATCAGCCACTGTATCCACCGTCAAAATCCCAGTCACATATCCTTTGCCGAGATTGATTTTTCCAATCTTGAAATAATCATCACTGCCGATAAAGAACGAATCCTCACCACAGCTTTCAGTAACAGCAACAAGGCAAGACCTTTTACAGCCCTTCGGTATCGAGAATCCAAAGAGCATCCCAACAAGCCTGTCGAATCTCAACATGAAATCCAGAGGAAAAGAATATTCCGGAAAGAAAGAACTACAGTGTGTCTCGGCCACTTCCCAACAATCTTCTATCCTTGCCTCACGAACAATGATATTTTGGTGGAAATCCAATGCATTAGGTGAAAACCCTTTGAAAGCAAATAAACAACACAATGCTTTGTTTTATTTGGGAGCGAGTAATTGAGACCTCTTATACTTCAAAGAAAAAAAAATTCCACTACCAATTAACCATACACATTTTTCAAAATTAACCAAACTAATCCAAAAAATCCAAACAAAACCAAAAAACTCTATATCCAAGCAACCCCTAAAGAGAGCATTTTCTATAGCACTTACATAAACTATGTAGGCAAGCAAGCTATCACTAAAAGGTAAGGTATTTAATTGGTATCAGTAGGGAAAAACGAGAAGGGAATCAAAAAATCCATGCTTTTGAGCTGAGCCACCACAAATTACCAGTCCATTTATTGTTTATATACCATAATTGTTTGTTTTAGTTAGCAACTGGGTGCATATATGAGCTATAGCAATTCTGGATTCAAATAAAAATGCAATCTTGGCAGAAATCAAATGACATAGTAACAGAAGTTTTTTCTACTTGAGTATCAATTGGCCCCAATCCCAATTTCTTTCAACCTGTTCCTTCTTGAACCATCAAAATATCTCTCTCTATCACAATCCTGAAATTAAAGAAGGATAAAGAATTTAGATCATACCTGATGCATGGGCAGATGAAGAGAAGGTGGATGAGGGGATTTCATAGTGAGAAATCTTGTCGGAAATTAAAGAAGAAAAAGGTTGATGCTTGAAATTCTTGATTTGTAGAGTGAGACTGAGTTTGCATATGTTACTGTTCAGACCTCCCAAACAAATCATTCTCACCACCAATTACAGAGTAAACTACCCTCGATTCTCCCCTTTATATCTCCCTCTATATATTTTACCCTCTCTCTCTCTCTCTCAAGTGGAGATAGAAATGGGATTTTTTTTTTCAGTGATATACCAAGTCTTTTGCTGTTTTTAATTACCGGTTAACTCATTATTCTATAACCAGATTTATGTACCCAAATTTTATTAACTTCCTTCTCTTTAATAGTAGAGTGAACATTGGTGTATGTTTTTAAGCGAAAAAGTTTGGGAAAATGAATTAATTAATTTATTAAACATTGCAATATAATGTAGAACAAATGAACTTCAAATGCATTTTTTTTTTTTTTTTTTCATATGACGATGTTCTAATATAAAAAAAATGAAATAACGTAGTACAAGTTTACAATCCAACAAAAATAATGAAAAATAAGTCTAATGAAAAAGACGAAATAACTAAATAAGGACCTAATGTATATTATAGATGAATTAGTTTTTTTATTTATTCATGTTAATGATTAAAGTGATTTTCATTCATTTTGATTTTGACGTTCTCATAAGAAATATTCATAATCGTTGGAGATTAATGCATCAATAGTATTGCAAAATTCTTCTTAATTTATTTGGCAACACGTCTACTTTATTCAAACACAGTATTCATATACTCAAACTTTATGATTGTATAATCTTTATAAGGTGTTTTTACTAACAATTACTGTGTCATTCTCTGTGAACAAAAATAGATAATTTCAAATGTCATACATATGTTAGATTCTTCTAACAATCTTACCATTAGGTGAACAAACTTTTTCAACGAAACATACTTTCATTCAAAAAGATCATATCTTAAAATATATAAACATAAGTTAACTGTGTATGTGGTTCACATAATATAACAATCGATCCACCTATCAATTATAACCGCTCACCCAAATATTTGGTCATATATACCCAAGAAAAAGTAGCCATTTGTTGATATTTCTCACAAATCACAACCCATGGCCACTGCAGCAAGCCATGATCTAATGTGATGCAATTATGTGGTCAGATCTCAATTGCCACTAATAAACACACTTATAAGTCGGTGATACTCTTTTCCCCGTGTTAGTTTGAAACCTTAAAGAGATGCCCAAATCTAATACAATCGGATAGTCTCATAATCTGGAAAAAAGCATATAAGCATACCACTCAATACCATATATACTCCGCTTTGAATTTCGACCCACTCGATTTCTTGGGGTCATTCAAAAGGCACACGTACGGCAGAACATTTTTTGAACTTTCCAAAGAGAAATAATTTATCCACTACAAGGAACATAATTTAGCTAAACGAAAATATAGCCACGACCAACATAGGTCATGGTGATAGAAGATCAACTGTAATTTTATGCAATTCAAAGCTCTTTCATATCTTCAAATATTTCAAATCTTCAATCTCCTTGGACTCCTGCAGCTTTTCCTGCACTGCAATCCTAGTCTTGTCAGCAGCTACTCTCGAGCTGACAGGTGGACCACTAACCTTAGCAGCTGGCTCGGCCGGAACAGTGATAGCTTCAGATGAAGGCAGCCTGCTGACTTGACCTGCTGGAACTTCAGAATTTGGCACTGCAGAAACTGACAATAACTTAAAACCAAACGGATGAGAGAATATATATGAAGTTTAACCTGACTAGAAGTAACTAATCATCTTCCAAAACAGAAAATATCCATCAGGGTTCGTACTAGCAATGAAACCAATCCTTCACATGCAATTTATCAAACACAAAAATGTTCTGTTTGAATTGAGGTTATTTGAAATCTATACAAGTCTTGAAATAATTTATCAATTGTTATTTTTTATAATACAAGGATTAAACGTGTGCAGTGTGGGATGTAGATAGAGTTAATATGAAATGTGTAGTTTGTGTGAGGGATTTGGAATCTATCCATCCGATTTTTTTCTAGCCAAACATGTCTCGTGCAGTTGTGTAAGGATTCCAAGTATGAAATGTGTAGTGTGTGTTAGGGTTTTGAAATCTACTGATCCAATTTCTTCTATCCGAATCCCTCGATACACACCCCAAGGGTAGTATTTGTAATTTTCCATCAAAACAAAGGAAGCTTTGAAAAATGGTTTGCCAGACAGTGTACCTGGACCAGCTCTAGCAAATGAAATCCCTTCCGCCTTAGCTGTCAGCAGCCTCGATGCCTGAGAATCGTGGGGTACCTCCTTCTTGCAAACTGGAGCAGCATATACAGGGACAGCCTGTCTTATGGAGACAGGTGGCGCAACCCCAATGGCCGGAGGCCTCATCACCGGTGGTGGGGCAGAGAAAACAGGAACCATGTTCCGTACAGTCACATGCGGGGCAACTCTGCCATGCGGATTACTGTGCCTGACAGGAATGTACGGTGGTGCACTTGCTGCAGGGAATTTCTGGGCAGACCAAAGCTTAAAGTTTTCAGCCGAAGACAAGCAGCTCTCGTTTGTGGGTGGTGTCGTGATTACAGGCTGGGCTTGGGTTGTGTTGGCATTCTTTTGGAATGATGGGCCGTTTTTGCTCGTTGCTGGCCTGCTGCGGTTGGCCATTTTGGGGCAGATTAAGGGAAGTATTTTCGAGGTTGAGGAGGAGGAATGGTGTGTGCTGCTCGATGGCCTCGGGCTTACAGTCGGGAATTTTATCGGGAAGGGGCATCTTGCCAGCCTGGCCTTTATCAGGTACTTTTGAAGGGCCCGAGCTACTGTCACGTGCTCCTGCTCATCCTTGTGGTTCTTCTCCCATGGAGTCTCTGACTGCTGCGCCACTGGATAATAAGACAAGAAAAGGACACAAAAAGATCGTCAAGCTCTACGTACAATAACTGGTCCATATCAATTAATTCTCGGTTAGGACTAAGCTGAGCCTCAACTCAAGTCCCTGTGTTAATTACATTATTACTTTTCGATATCAATAAAACATTTAAAAATAAAAGGGATGATCATATACATGATTTGAGAGATAACCAAGCCACCATGGCCGCATTCTTCTCTGCTTGCTTCTTGTTCTTAGCTGGATCACCAGTAAATAGAACGCCCACCAACTCCACCGTACAGGTGAAAACGGGAAGGTGGCCTTGACCAGATCTGAAAGTTGTATAAGAAGGCATGCATCCCCCAACTCTTTGAGAGACCTCCTGCAAGAGATTCTTATACACGCCGGTTTCATCCTGAAAATGAGAAAGATGAAACCCCAGACGCATGATGAGAGAAAAAAATGAATGGTATGCACTAGACAAAAGCAGCATGGCCTTTTTGCCCACAAAGCTCACTTTGCAGTCCATAATTTAGTTACAAACATTTATTTAGAAGATGAGTCACTGAGGTCACAGACTACAGTACATGGGTGAATACTTCCACATACAAACGGACAGGCCACAACTTTTATACAGCTGCAAAATATTTATCATCCATCAATGCCTAACCTCCTCTATTTTCTTCCTAGCCAATTTCTCATACAGCTCATCAAAAGCAAATAAAAAAACAATAAATGAGAATAATGATTCGCATAAATTAACCTAGACCAATCCACATTCTTCTAGTAATGATGATGATGAACCTCATGAGTTCAGGGGTGGAATTGAGGATTGGTAATCCATCTTGTGTACGAATAAACTCAGTTATATCCTTTGAGATCTTTGGAGTGCGTATAAGATAATTTTGTCACTGGTTAAACATGGACTTAATGTTGCTGGGCATGCATCATTCCGGTGCAGTATAACATAGTGTCATAAAACTAAAATTGCAAAACAAATCATTGTAGTAACTAATTTTAAGATTTTTTTCCTAAATTGAAAAAGAGCTGAAGGAATATTCTCTAAATAGATTGGCAAGATGTAAAACTTTAGATTGGGTATCGATACAAATGTATCTAATCATGTTAACCTCGGGTTGAATGGTAATAAACCTTACATTTTTGTATAAACAATCAAAAGTGGGACGTCCACGTTTTCTTTCACGTGACTCTGCCTGGATCATCATTTGTTACTCAAAATCAACAAGTGACAGCTACACAGTTGAAACCAATATTTGGAATTAAAGATTGCCTAAACAGTCTCACAATTTTGTGAAAAAGAAACTGAGAGTAGCGCACGTCCCATCTCATTCTAAGTTTTGAGATACATAAGGCATTTTGGTGTCAATCTTATTTAGGAAGCAGCCTCAAAACATTCTTATTTGTAGAAATTGCGCAACGGGTAAGTTTTAGTATATAATTTTAATTTTTTTTCAAAAAACTAGAGAAAAGAATCAATCCACTTGATTCTACCTGTATTTGTAACGGACGCATAGCGTCATCCAGACCCACTCCACGGAGTCCGTGTAAATCAAAACAAACTTTTAATCGACAGGCAGGATATGACGCATAAAAGTCATGTGCTGGTCACTAAACGACAAACAACACACCAATAGAATTTAATCTTCAACAAACAACAGACAAGCACTCTTTAATTTGTTTGCTGTCAGTCGGAAACAAATCATAAGCCGGCAGCTGTCACGTATGTTAAATAGAAGTAGCCAAACTGCTTAAAATGCTACAGAATGGACAGTTTGAACATCATTAGGAAAAGTCTTGATGATTATTAAGATGATAACTTTACATTCAGAATCACTATACAACAACAACAACAACATACCCAATATATTCCCAACAGTTTGGGGTCTGGGGGGTCAGTTGTACGCAGACCTTACCCTTGTAATTATACAAGGAGGCTGTTTCCGTAGCAACCCAAGGTGCATTCAAAATGCACCCACCCTCCAACGAATGCATTAGACTACTATATCATGCTGCTAATACAAAATCTAGCAGAACGCGTATTTCTGTTAAGATAAATTCACAATAAAAGAAAAAAATGAAAGAAATAAAATAAAAGGCTATAAAATGGTGCCATAATGACAGTAAAACACAAAAATGCACAACGATGAAGGTAAATTAATAAAGGAACTGAACATAACAAAGGCTTCCACATATGATGCCAAATTATGATACCACTAAATACTAATAAAGGTTGACAATCACAGAACCCACAAAACAGATATCCAAGTTATCCAAAACAAACAAAATCAAAGTGACAATCACCATCCACACTTACTCTCACTTTTTCATCAAGTCCACAAAACAACATTAGCTAAAATTTTAGGAACAGAGGTCCATCCCATAGCTCATAATAAAGTTACATGGCCACCACCCACTTATGTGTAGCCTTATATCTCTATCTCTTATTCTATTTTCTGAATCTCGACAAATCCAATAAAGTAAGTCCACTAAAATAAATCACAGTAGCTAGGGACATGAACATAACAAAATCAACACAAAATAAATAAGAAAATATTAACAAACAAGTGGAACGCATTTTTTCTTTAGAAAACCATCATATTTGCATAAACTCATACCAACGAAAAAAAATAAATAAATAAAATAACATGGACTTGCCAGAATTCTAGCGGCGAGGGAGCTGGTAGGTCCACCGCTGGATAGCGCATTGAGTGCCACTTCAGCTGCAGAGTGTTCCGCCTGGCGGAGGGTGGAGCAGTAGCTAGGGCTCTCGTATGTCTCGCCGTTAAAGTTAACGGAGGCCTTGAACCGTGGCGCGTGATCGGGACCTTCCCTGATGCAAGTGTAGGACGGCAGATTGAAGCAGCTACGCTGCGCCAGCTCCTGCAGCTGGTTCTTATACATCTTCACACCAACCCCAAAAATCAAAAGGAAAAGGAGAAGAAAATGGACCTAAAAGCACCGGAAAAAGAAAAAAAGCACTTCAATTTTTCACGGTCGTCCTCTATCGATATAAATTTGAATGCAACAGATCACCGGCTCAAAAGAGCCTCCAATTGAGATCGGGGAACATATTTCTCAGCTGCTGTACGGTTCTTGGTTAGGGTTTTTTGGTAGCATTTCTTGAAGTGAGTTTTTTGGGTGAGCTTACTGGAGAGAGAAAGGCTAGAGAGAGACATAGGAAGGACTTTTTGCAATTTTTTGCTGTGCAGTTAATAGCTTGCCTTTAAAAACGACGTAAGAGAGAGAAGGATAGTGGAAAATGGAACGGTGCAAAGTACTTTTTTTTAAATAAATATGAAATGTTTTCTTGTTAAAACAATATATATATAACTGGCAGGAAAAAAATAACCAAAAAAATAACTTTGATTGAAGGCTTGTTTATATTTTTTTTAATTCAAAAACAATATTTGAATTGAGTCATGTGTTGACATTCGAGCCAAGTAGGGTGAGCCCCAAATTAAATATGATCTCTAAATGAAGTAATAGCCGAGTCGAACACTCGGGTCTGGGAATTAAGAGTGAAAACAAACCTCAAAAGTAAAAATAGTCGGGAGCCGAGCAAGAAACAAACAGGACACCCAGGTCGGATAACCTTAAGTGTAACGCCGATCACAAAATTATCAAAGTCAACAAAACCGAGCTCAAGAGTTTGATGAAATTAATTCAAAAGTTGATGTTTGAGACTTGAGCTACGCGCACTAAGGCGGCGAGAAATATGAAAACAATGACAACTTGTAGTCAAATGATGAAAGATGGAACACTCCTAACAAAAGCTTAATAGCCTATGTACCATAGTCTAAGAGAGTCCCATGTCGCATTAAATGAGTGTCTTTTTCATTTAATGCTCGATTGTACTACTCAATAAACAATATTCGGGTCATCTTTACTATAAATAGTCCTATGAATCATTTGTAAAAAGGTTAAGAAAAATTCTCTATACTCAATACATATATTCTCTCAATTAATACAGCAATAAATACGAGCAGCCGAGCTCAGACACCAACATCCGACCTTATTTTTACTTATTTTCCTACATATTCAACATATTATTTCGAACAAAAATAGGTTGAACACCTTATTACTAACACAAATCGTGTGTTATTGGTTGATCAAATCTGTTGATCAACAGTTTGGCGCTAGAAGGAGTGTATTGCTTGACAACAAAGAACAAGAATAACCAAATAAAATGTCTTTATCAAGTCAGGAAGCAGAATCTCAACCGCAAACGACGGAGCAACCACGCACAGTTGCTCCCACCATCGACTTTACGTCAATGTTTCAAGATCTGAAATACCTTAAGGGCATGGCGAGCCTCATGGCATGAGTCTTGCCATCGACGTCTCACACGCCACCACCGCTGTTCGATATGCTCAAAACGCCAGTGAAAGAAGACACCAACCCCACCGCCGGAGACAGGGGCAAGGGACCGGCCCATTCTAAGGCCGCAACCAATCTCCAAACAATGCGACAAAAAACCAAAAAGAAAAAATGTAAACCAAACCTAGACAGAGAAAATCGAGAAAAACAGGTCACAAAACATAAGGCGAAGTCCCCCAATCCTTTAGTATTTACTCGTATGGGAAAGAAAGAGGCTAAGCAGGGCAAAAAATCATGAGGATGGGTTAGTCAAACGCAATTTTGACGAGGTCATAGCCCTAAGAAAGAGAATCGTCGAACTCGAAGCTCGACAAAAATACGAGAAAAGGGCACCTTCGCCACCTTCGATGTTTCAGCGGACCGCCTCACCGTTTGCATCTGACATCATACGCACCCCCCACCAAACAAAATCAAGATGCCTCATATCGTGCTCTACGACGGCAGCTTCGATTCACACCTTGGATTATACACGTCGTGGATGGATTTGGATGGGGCGAGAGACGCCCTCAGATGCAAAATGTTCTCACTGACTTTGGGTCCCAAAGACTAGAAATGGTACCATTCATTGTATGCCCACTATATCTAGAGTCGGCGGCAGTTGAGGTCGGCATTGCGATATCAATGTATCGGGTCTCAAGTCTGCATGATCCGAAAGAGTCAAACAAACATCGTTCAAGGGGCTGGCGAGAGCATGATGGACTATGTTGCTCGTTTCAACAAACGAGTCCAAAACATGGATCCGTGTCACCAGGAGACGTTGCTGGTGTCGCATATTCTGGTCTGAAGTCGAACTCGGTATTTTAGGTGGTCGATGTGTCAGAATAAGCCGACCACCTACCGAGAATTCTTGTCCCAGGCTCAACAACATGTTATGGCCGAGGAGTCCATGTCTCTGCCGACCATCGAGGTGCCCGGAGATACGACAATGAGGCCAAGCAAGCTCAGGATCCAGCAAATGAAGCCTACAGAACACAAATCGAAGCCCTAAAAAAGCAGTGAAAAGAGGAGCTGAGGGAAAATTACAAAAGAGTCTATTCGGCTAGGCCACAACAGTGTACGAAGAAATCAAGAACAAGGAAAAATTACCACGGAGTTTTCGATTACAGAAAATTCGATAATCGACTACTAGTCAGTTTGATTTCCGTTTTACTTTTTGGGGTTATCAAAGCTTCAATTCAATATCTGTAAACTCTATTAGTTCGGTTACCGAACTGATTTCAACCCTAGTTAAATTATGATATATGTTATTTATATATTTACTTTCCGAGTCACGTTGTACTAGTAAATAGTATAATGACAGAAAAAAGGATGAATAAAACAAAACCAAAAAATGAAGTAGAATAAAAAAGCACAAAGCTATAAATTACAGCATTGCCATTCGAGCCTTGAACCCTAGTTTAAACCCTCTATGAGCCTTCTATTCATTTGCAAGTATTCAATTCCCACTTCCCAGTCTCCGAGCTGAACTTGCAGTTGCACGAGCTAGCCGAAAGAAGACCATGGGGAAGCTTGGTAAGAAGGCAAGAAAATTCGCGAAGAAACATCTTCAATCTGTGCTGAGGAATAGGCGAAAAACAAAGGCTTTATTCAAGAAGAAAGCTCGCAGTAAGTGTAACCTCGTTTTGTGCTTTGATTAGCCTGCATTTTTTTTTCTATTGTTTTTTTTCCGCGTTTTGAAGCATATTTTCATAGATAAAGGTTCATTGGTATTACTCGAAAATGTAGTGCTCTGTGTGATTTGCTCTTGTTTGTGATGGAAAGAATGATAATAGGTGGCAGCTGTGTGTATGTGTATTTAGTTCATCCTCTGAACAATTAGAGTTTGCTAATGGATGAACATGGATACAGTAAGCGGTCATAGCCTTGTTCTTTCTGTTTTGCCTTCGTTTATATCCTCTGTGTGATTTGCTATTGTTTGTGACGGAAAGAATGATAATAGGTGGCAGCTGCGTGTATGTGTATTTAGTCCATACTCTGAACAATTAGAGTTTGTTAATGAATGAACATGAATACAGTAAGCAGTCATAGCCTTGTTCTTTCTGTTTTGCCTTCGTTTATATCCTCTATTTGTAATTACTATCACTTATTTGTTTTCCTTATTTTTGATTGGAACTGGTGGTGGAGGGAGTTTAAATTTATTATGAATTGCCAAAGGCTTGTATATTGAACAAAATATTAACACTATAAATATTCTAAAGAGATGAGATTGCTGAATGTGTCAAAGTGCTACATATATGAATCATAGGCGTGTTTAAAACCACATATTTCATTTTCTTATTAAACTTATTGTTTATTAAGATGTATGTGTCTTGATATTCGCTTTCTATTGTATTTTTGCTGCAGAAGGCGCTCCAAATGATACTGAGGAACAACTGGATAATCAATCGAGGGTCTCTAATGGAAGGTAAAACAGGTGAATTTGATGCATCTTAATACTAGTATTTTAAGGAGCAAAATTTAGGATCTAGGTTCTAAATTTTTTTCTATTATTAACTTATGTGTCACAAAAATTGTACTGGAAAATGTATAATAACTTAGCAGATGTGGCCATGTTTCTTATTATCCTTCTCCTGATTGGCCTTCTATCAATATTTTTTATTAACATTGCATCCTCATATTTGACTTCTGATCACGCTAATTGCTATAGGATCGTTTTTAATTTTGGATGAACCTTGCTTTTTTTAATCATCATTTTCAGGAACACGGAATCAGAAGACGTAGGAAATATTTCTCTTGATGCTGTGTTCATGGAAAATGCAACTGATGAGGTTGAAGATGCTTCAGACAGTGATGGTTATCTTTCAGAGGTTTCAGACATTCTTCTGCTTATTCTTCGTTGTTCTACATGACCTTTTCTTCCTGCTAAATTTATTGTTGGCTGTTGAATGTTAACACTTATAGGACTCAGGCTGCCCATATGATGTGGAAACTGAGACTGATGAAACTCCAGAAGGTTTCTTTTCCCAAAACTATTTTCATGCCCTATATATTCTCCTCTCGATCTTTCAACTTGCTTATGTTGACATTTGTTTTTGGAGTAGTATCCTTAGATTTCTCGGTTTTCATGCAGGTGAAATAGCTAGGAGTACCTTCTCGGCTCAGAATAAGGAACTTCAAGCTGATCTGGTCATTCAAAAGAAAAAGTTAGATAGGCTGAGTAAGAAGGTGAATTCTCGCTGTTGCGAATTGTATATGAAGATTACTTTAAAAATTGTTTAACGGAAAGTTGTTGGTAACAAGATGATTATCTATAATCTATTTCGACTATGTTCTCCATTAGTTAGGTGTCTGCATAATCCTTAAACAATTCTTGCCTGTTTGCTCTTTTAATGCCTTCATATTATTGAGGCGCCTGATTGGAGTAACTTGACATTATATACGCCTCAACATAGTTTTTGATCATCATCTCCCTCTCACTCATCCAAGTATCTGGCTGATTTTTACTTTTATTTTATTTGGCTGTCCATCTATTGCACCTCATATTGCCCACCCCTTTGTTGAAATTTCTTCTTTTGGGAATTTCAGGATCCAGAATTCAGTAAATTCCTAGAAAGCTTTAGTAACAGTGCCGA